AGATAGATAGATAGATAGATAGATAGATAGATAGATAGATAGATAGATATGACTGCTGGATGGATGGATGGATGGATGGAGGAACAGAGGATGGATGGATGGATAGATGATAGATAATGATGATGGATGGATGGATGGATGAAGGGGTGAGAGGGAAGGAGGATGGATGAAGGATGGATGGTAGATAGATGATGGATGGAGGTAGCTAGATATTGTGGATGGAGGGATGGATATATAGACAGATATGATGGTGGATGGATGCATGAAGAGGTGAAAGGGAAGGATGGATGGATGGATAGATGATAGATATGGGTAGCTAGATATTATGGATAGAGGGATGGATAGATAGACAGATGATGGTGGATGGATGGATGGGTGAAGGGGTGAAAGGGAAGGAGGATAGAAGGGTGGATAGATGATGGATATAGGTAGCTAGATATGGATGGAGGGATGGATAGATAGATATGATAGATCGATAGCTTTTAAACTATGTACCTAGGAATCTCAGTTTGGAAGCTGACTAGATGAGAGGATGGAAGACCAGACCAAATTTGCCTTGTCTCCATTGTCTTTCCTGGTAGAAAATGAGAAAGGGTTTCCTCTAACACAAGGATCTTCAAACTTGACAAGTTTAAGACTTGTGGACTTCAACTCCCAGAATTCCTGAGCTAACTTGGACTGGAGGAGGAATTCTGGGGGTTGAAGTCCACAAGTCTTAAAAGATGTCAAGTTTGAAGTCCTCTCCCCCGCCCAAAAAAACATGCTTCTCAACCTTGCCAGTTTTAAGATAGGTGGACTTCAACTCCCAGAATGCCCCATCCAGCAGCCCTTTGGCTTTCAAGATAGACTCAAAAAGGACACCCACACACAGAACGAAAGCCGTTCCCTGGGAGGGAAGATGAAAACTCAAGCCAACCATACTCTTTGCGCGTCACTGGGAGCCTAGTGGCTGGGGAATTCTGGGAGTTGGAGTCCACGCTTCTTAAAATCTGCAAGGCTGAGAAACGCTGCTTCCTATTAAAAATTTTGAAAATCAGGATTTTTTATTCATGCTTTCTAGGAAGCAAAAACCCCTGATCTTTCTCTTCTAAGCAGATGCCGCCATATAGCACTACGGAATATGTTTTAAAAAAAAAACCTTCCTGTCTGGATATATAGATATATAAGCTTAAATTCCTTAAATCCTTCTGTGTTGTGCAGGAAAGTAAAAAAAAGTCAGGCTTCAGTACATAAAGACCAGCTTTCCCGACTAAAGGAACGAGATCCTGAATTTTACAAGTTCCTGGAAGAAAATGACAAGACTTTGCTTAACTTTGATGAATCTGACAGCTCCGATGAAGAGGAAGATCATCACGTGTTGCCTGAAAAATTAGAGGTAATTAATTATATGTGTAAATATACATACATACATATATATGCACACACACACATACATACACATACACACACACGCACATTCTCCCCCCCCCCTCCCGTTTCTCTATCTGGATACCCTTACTTTACTACAAAACTGATTGGCCTTAGTTTTTGAGGAGGAAAATTAAGGGGGGGGGGGGGGGAATTGTGCCTCTGCCTACCAGAATCCATCGGTATTCATCTCTGGCTAGCGTCCTGTCAGTGTGTGAGAGAGTTGAAGGCTGTTTGGAAACCGAAACAGTATTTGCTGCATGAGCAAGGAGACAGCAAGGAGCCTGGGTGCGGCTTAGCTCAACTGTTCTGCACTAAAGCTGGTTGCTGCTGTGAAGCTGAAGCTGAAACTCCTCTGCTTGTGTTTTGCACTTGGAACAGATTTCTTTTCAGGTGGGGAGGGGGAGTAGAACTCCTTAGCATTTTATGTTTAATTGTTATTAACTGATTTTGTGTTCTCTGGTTTTTAGGGGATTTTTGCAATTGTATTATTTTTTTTAAAAAAAGAACTCCTTAGCATCAGAGCGTGTTAATAATAATAATATAGGAAATAGTAATGCTCTGATGGTCATTTCGAAAAATCCTTTCTTAGTGAGCACCTAGAAGCCAAGAGGAACATACCTGCCAAATTTCAAGTTTGTAGGCTTTACGGTTCTGGGGTTTTTGTGATGATGCACGAGTGATATTTCACTTGTGTATATATATATATATATACAGATGAAACTTGACTGGTCTTGCTAGCTCTCTGATCCCATTAGAATCCAGCTTAGTTAATACTTGGATCTCCTATAAAGTTGCAGGACTATAGAAATAAAAATAATTAAGATCAGAGAAACCAATTTCTTTTTATTCCCAAGAAAACTTCATGACTGTATCCCTGTGTCACTCATTTCAGGCTAAATGCTTTTTTTTTTTTAACTTTGATAGGAAGCAACTGATGAAGAAGATGATGAAGATGATGATGAAGAAGAAAAAACAGCTAAACGGAAAAAAATGGATTTCATCACCGTGTCATTGAAAATGGTGGAACACTGGAAGGAAGCTGCAGAGGTAAGAGAGAGATTTTTTTTTAAAAAAAGCAACAATTCTTTAGGAGCTACAAATAAGGCTGATTAAATATGGAAAGTCTTGCCCAAAATAAAGTTACACTTGATTTTCTCTGTCTCTTTCTAACCATCGTATTTAGAATAGAATAGGATAGGATAGGATAGGATAGGATAGGATAGGATAGGATAAGAAATTATGGAATGGAATGAAGAATAGAATAGAGTAGAATAGAATAGAGAATAGAATAGATTAGATAGATTGTTGGTATTCAATTCTATTCTCTATTCTATCTTGCATTCTATCCTATCCTGTCCTATCCTACAGTATATTTTCTATTCTACTCTACTCTATTCTACTCTATTTCTATTCTATTCTATCTTGCATTCTATCCTGTCCTATCCTATCGTATCCTACTATCTCCTGTGTATACTGTATTCTGTATTCTTTTATTTTAAAATTAATTCTATTAACTTTTTTTTTCATTCCACACAGAATAAACTCACTCCTAGGGTCTTCCATGAAATTACTCAGGCTTTCAAAGCCTGCGTGATCACTGCCAAAGGGGAATCGGCAGGGCCGGATTCCGGCAAGTTCAAAGTCACGGACAGCACAGGTAAATCTTCCCAGAACTGAGCTAGCTTTCCTCTTAAAAGTTGCTGGCATTGAGACAGGCAGTTGTATATAAAAGAGTTCTCTCTCACAACTGCTAAATTCATTGATGAAATGTCTCTGTTTTTTCCCCCCATCTCCTGTTTAGTCTTCAACACAATTGTCTCCTTCTGTGTCCGTGACCTCTTCGTTCTTGTGCAAAAACTGCTTCAGGTGAAGCCTGCAAAAAATAAATCAAAGTAAGTTAACTTTTTTTTTGTTTTATTCACATTTATTTGTTCTTTATTCTTCCTGTCTAGGAATTTGCCCACCATGCAAAATTGACTATTCCTTCAATTCCCAATGTCCCTTTTTTAATCCATCCTGAGCAGAATAGTTTTTTAAACTATGAATTTAGAAAAGCATACATCCCTGTGGGCATGTGATCAAAATTCGAATCTTGGCAATTGACTCAATTAACAACTCCAGTGATTCACGTAACAATTCTGGCAATAAATGTTATAAAACGGGGAAAAATTCACTTAACAACTATCTTGCTTACTGGTGGAAATTTGGGGCTTAATTGTCATATATCGAGAAGTACCTAATTCGAGTTCTTTTATGGCCTGGTTTGTAGATTGTTAACTCGGTTTACCATTCAGTATCCTGGCAGAGGCATAGAAATAGAATGAATGAGCTGGAAGGGGCCTTGGAGGTCTTCTAGTCCAGCCCCCTGCTCAAACAGGAGATCCTATAATATTTCAGATAGGTGGCTGTCTAGACTTTTCTTAAAAGCCTCCCTTGATGGAGTGCCCAAAATTTCTGCAGGCAAAGCTGTTCCACTGGTTAATTGTCCTGACTGTTAGGAAGTTTCTCCTTAATTCTAGGTTGCTTCTCTTCTTGATGAGTTTCCATCCATTGTTTCTTGTCTTATCCTCTGGTGTTTTGGAGAATAATTGAGCCCCTCTCTTCTTTGTGGCAGCCTCTCAAATATTAGAATACTGCTATCATATCACCCCTAATTCTTCTTTTCTTTAGACTAGCCAAACCCAAATCCTGCAGCCATAAAATAAGATAATCTTATTCCCAGGACGAGGAATTGATTTTCGGTGTCAAAACCAAAGGCCTAAATGCATCTTGTGGTGTTACCACTGTTGCTAACGCCCTCCCCCCGCCCCCCAAATAATTTGCAAAACAACTAAACCTTAGAACATTGGATAGCCGACAGAGCCAGGGTTGAATTTTCCATTCGGACAGCAAAGGCTCGCAGTTGGTTAGAGGACAATTAATCCCTTTCAAGCTGGCATGTGGGTAGTAATTTGCAGCTATCTGATCCACAGAGCGTCGTGGGCACTCAGAGGTCTGGATAATGATACATCTCTATATATGGCTTGCTTTGCATGTGACCTTAGCTGACTGCTACTTTTGGCTGAGTTTCTGAGCTGGGTCCACATGATAGTTGGGGACACTACACATCGTTTTCAGGACTGGTTTTCCTCGTTACCTTTTGGGAGGGGGCTTCGTGATACCCGAAGCGGACTATCCAGATTCAGTTTTGTTCAATAGAGCATCAACCTTGTGAACTCCTCAAGTTTCCCTTTTCCGCTATGTATTCAAAATGGACAGTGATTAATAGATACAAAGTGTATATAACCTGTTTCCCTGAAAATACGACCTACCCTGAAAGTAAGCCCGAGCTTGATTTTTTTACACATGCGCCCAATTTAAGCCCTACCCCTAAAATAAGCCCTAATTAAGATCCTGCCCACTCCAGGGTGGGGATGGAAGTAGTGGAGCTGCCCTACTACTTATCTTTGGACAGTTGTAGCCAGGCCTTGCACCCTCTGACACCTGCCTTGCCAGCCCATTTCTTCTGCAGCTGGCAAGACTGACCAAGCTTTCCTGAAGGCCTCTGTAGCTGATAAGAAAGCTCTGGATCGATCCAGAGCTCTTATCGGTTGCAGAGGCCTCCAGGAAAGCCTTGCCAGCCACAGAAGAAGTTCCTGAAGGCCTCTGACAGTGAAAAGGAGGACGGAGGTGATACACGCAAGTGAGGTTAGTCAGTGGATCGCCTGAAAATAAGACCTGGTGCCTTTTGGGGTGGGTCTTATTTTGGGGGGAAACACAGTATATATGTATGGGTACAGGTATATATTTATTTTCTACCTTGAATTTTAAATGCATCACAGGCAAGAACCTTTCCTGGTTGAACAGCAACTAGCCCAGTTGACATTCAGTCATCTCCTATCAGAGAAAAGACAGCTTTTGAATTCACATATTTCCTGTACTAAATCTTATCTTCATTCATTGATTTAGATTAGTCTTGCCTTCCTCCAGTCCATTGTGGAGCAAGTTACGACTGGACATCAAAATGCACTTGGGCTGTACCATTCAGGTGAGTTTAAGTGAGGGTCAAATTTCTTTTTTTTTTGATATTGGGCATATCTCCCTGTTTTTGGAAGATCTTTTTTATACCTCTAGAAAAAAATATTTGTAAGTCAGGTGTGATTTGCAGGTTCCTATTTGAGCTTGGTGGTTTTCTTGCAGATGTTTCAACTACCAAACTAGGTAATGTCATCAGTGCACTGAGGTAGGAGCTGGGGTGGCAGAGTGGTTGGAATGCAGCATTTCAGATTTACTCTGCCCACTGCCAGCAGTTCGATCCTGACTGGCTCAGCTTTCCATCCTTCCAAGATCAGAGAAATGAGGATGCCAGATTGTTTGGGAGAATATGCTGATATTTGTAAGGCGCTCATTGTTGTAAAGAACAAAGATGCAGTATGTAAGTCTAAGTGCGATTGGTCATAAAACGTCTGTAAGAAAACCACCAAGCTCAGAGAATAACATGGACTCCACTGGTTTTTTTTCCTTCTTCCCTGTTTCTAATGAAAGACCATTGGACAGAGAGAAAATCCCCAGCGAGTCCATAGTTTGACTTTCAACTGGTAGGAATCGCAGAAATGCAACATTTAAAAAACCATAGTTAAACAGGGCAGAAGGGATGTCTTTGCCTTTATGCCACACCCCGGTTCATCACATTTCTGTTCTGACTGAATTCTTCCATTCGCCAGCGTTCAGGCAGAACGGAAGAAGCTTCTTGGATGAGGAGTGAAACGTCTTCAAGGAAAAAGCCCAGTTGCCTCTTGAAAAAGCACCTTTGGGACAGGGGCAGGGGGGAGCGTAGGCGATTTGAAATTGCTCAGCCTTTCAGCCATATCGATGAAAATTTTGTCTTTTTTTTTTTCCTTTCTGCAGCTTCTGTCGTGTTTAACCCGGACCTCAGTCACAATAGCTGTTCTTCAGCACATCAGTGCCATTGTACCTTATTATTTAAGCTTCCCAAAACAGTCTCGCGTGCTACTTAAGGTAAGGTCCATAGCAGGGCTGGCCAGAAAGTGCAGGAATAAGATTTAAAGTTGGATTCCCCCTTATTCAAATTGGGTTCCCAGTCCTAGACAATGGGTTCCACAGCAAACTTTTTTTGGCCTTGGGTTTTTTTTAAATTAATTAATTAGATCTCTTATCCACCTTTATTATTTTAATCAATATCTCAAGGTAATAAGTGTATTCATATTCTCCAATGGGACACATCCATAGCCAAGAGCCATCAATCATGCTCTCCAGTTAGAATTTTGCACAGCAGAAACTTCAGTCACCTAGTTACTATCTTTGAAAACATTTATGGAATGCACTTCTGGTTTTGCAAGCTCTAAAAAGACCAGAGAAATATTTTATGCGTTGACATTAAGATTACCTGCTCATTTGCTAAAGCAAATCTATACAATGAAGATGGCATTCTTTTTAAGTTTTCAATCTTGGCAACTTATGGACTTCAGCTCCCAGAATTCCCCAGCCAGCATGCTTTTAAGATGTATGTACTACTGGGAAATTCTTGGAATTGAACTCCACACGTTTTATAGTTGCCAGGGTTGAGAAATGCTGTTTCAGGCCATAAAAAGGGTTGAAATTTAGTGGCATTGCCTTGATTGGCACTTGGGGATAAAATGCAGTTTCTAACCCTAGAGGCGTCTCCTTCTGAAAGCAAAACAAAAATTGAAAATAACTTATTTTTTCTTCTTTCATTAAGCAAATTATTCGACTCTGGAGCACAGGCGATGAAGTTGTAAGAGTTCTAGCTTTTTTGATAATCAACAAAATCTGCCGGTATAAACAGGAGGCTTATTTACCTTCTGTTCTAAAGGTAAGATTAATAGATTAATGGAAGGGACATTGTAGGTCATCTAGTCCAACCCCCTGCCCAGGAGACCCTTACACATTTCTGACAAAGGGCTACTGAAAACGCATAGACTATACATTCATTTTTAGGCTGGGTCAGTATTTTCCTCCTTACAAATTAAAAACTTCAGGCAAAATTTTGCACAATAGTGTCCTCATTTATTACTGTTTTTGATTTAACAAATGAAAGCCATAGCTGTTACGAAGGCGTTTTTCCAAGTTTTGTTGGGTTTTTTGAAAAGAAGCATTGTGCTTTCAACACAAGATGTTTTGCTGGCGGTCCAGTTTTGCTGTTGTGTACTTGGAAGCTCAGTTGTTGGCTTTTGTTCTCAGCTATACATACTTAACCACTGTCTCGCTTAGTGACATAAATTTTGGGCTCTTGTCATAAATTGAGGACTACCTGTATATCTCAAAATAATGGAGTTTTTCACATTCACTTACCAAGGTGAATCGAAACATGGCGTGGTTTATGTCATAACTGCGCCTTCGTAAAAAGATACCCCTTGAAATAACAGGTAGCCCTCATCATAAAACTACAAAACCTTCAGCTCAAAATTTCTGTTGCTAAATGAGACATTGGTTTAGTTGCAAGGGTCTACAAATTCGGCAAGTTTAAGACTGGTGGACCTCAACTCCCAGAATTCCTGAGCTAACATGACTGGAGGAGGAATTCTGAGAGTTGGAAGTCCACAAAGTCTTAAAGCTGTCAAGTTTGAAGACCCCCGGTTTAGTGAATTTTGAGTTAAGTGAATATGAAAAACTCCCATTATTTTGGAGTTATACAGGTAGTCTTCAATTTATAACTACAAAAGAGCCCCAAATTGATGTCACTAAGCAAGAGAGGATAAGAGAGGATAGTCAATGGATGACATCCCCCCAAAATAAGGCCTGGTGTCATTTTTGGTGGCCAAAAAGCCGTAAGACAGGGTCCTATTTTCGGGGAAGCACAGTAGTTGGATGAAATCGTTTATGAATTCGGCTTCTGCAGCTGCCCACCTCAAAACAAGTGACTGACTGGCCAGCCACCGTCAGCATCACCCAAATTCTCTGCTTTTGTCTTTTCCCCATTAGCAAATGTACATTTCCTATGTCAAGAATTCAAGATTCACCTCTCCTAATGTCCTCCCGCTCATCAACTTCATGCAACGGACGCTGATCGAGATGTACGCTCTGGACCCCGCTGTGTCTTACCAGCAGGCCTTCATATACATCCGTCAGCTGGCCATCCACCTGCGTGGAGCTATGACCATCAAGAAGAAGGTAGGTTTATCTGAAGGTGTGATGACCAGGGCATGAAAGCAACGCAGCCAGAGAATAGGTCTTAACTCCCCTAAATATTTTTAATCGGATTCTTCATCCAGAAAGATTTGTAGTATGCAGTTTACAGCAACACTTTGTCGTCTAACAAGTTGCAGCGCAAAAGGAAAAGTGGAGGAGGAAAAAGGAAAGCAGAAGTATCTAACCATCATAATAAACTGCTTCAGTGTCAGGATTCCATCAATCACCCTAATTAAATCATGATTCTCAAGCCAAACTTCAAAAAACTTCAAAGGATTCATTAGAGGAGACATACTTGCACTGTCCTGTGATGAAGCCAACTCTGGCCTACGTCATTTACAGTCCCCTGTGACCCTGTTTTCCCCCTTGGGTGTGTCATAAATCAGATTCTCCAATTGAGCAGCTTCACAGGCTAGGTGTCATCAATCACATTCTCCAATTAAATATATTTGAGGGCAAAATTCTGGTAGTTTAGTTACAATCTTTTAAAGAGAAGAGTTGGAATGTACTTCCGCTTCCAAACTGCTGCACTGCTTTTCCAGATTTCCTTCCTCCTCCACTTTTTAAGGCAACTACTAAAACAGGCATAGGAATGTTTTACGAATTGACATTCGGATTTTGCAGCTTGCTTCATTCCATTTTCCAGCATTATTTCCCGCTTTTCTACTGTTTTTTAAACTAGGAAAACTATCAGTCCGTTTATAACTGGCAATACGTGCATTGCTTATATTTTTGGTGCCGGGCTTTGAGTACGATGCATCCGAATGACGTCATGAAACCCCTGATTTACCCGTTGACCCAAGTCATCATTGGCTGCATTAAGTAAGTAGCTACACAATGCTTAAACCAGGAGGATTTCGTCTCCAGCTCCGTTCTTGGGGGGGAGAGAGAGACTTTTGGCTTCATGCAAGGAAAGCAGCAGAAGTCTTTCTTTCTCTCCCCTAAATTCTATCAGAAATGAGTCTTTGTGAGACTTGTCGCGCCGGCGCAGCCTCTTGGAGCAGGAGGCCTTGCAGAGTCCCATTTCTGGCGGAGTTTGGGGGAGAGAAAGAGAGACTTTTGCTGCTTTCCTTGCGTGCAGCCAAAAGCAGAAGAAGAAAGAAGCGGAAAGAAGCAGCCTGGTGGCCAGGCCGGGCGCATGGGGCACGTGGGGCAAGTCCCCCCCCTCCGCCCTTCCCCCCCCTCCCCTCACTACCTCCTGTTGTTCGCAATGAACGGATGCAAGCCTTGTGTTCCCACGGGCCATGTGGGCGGCGCAGCATGTGTTCCCACGTAGCATTCTACTCCGCTCTGCATTCTATTCTGTCCTGTTCTATTCTTCACCTAATCTATTAGCTATTTCTAGCTTTCATATTTTTTTTTTCCTAGCCTTAATTTATCCCCACCACAAATCGAGTGACTGAGCCTTAATTTATCCCCCGCTGCTGCTTTCTCCAACCTGACTCTTTTTGAGACGGCGAGGAAAAACCCCGACCTGTAATTCTGCTTTCTTTGAAATGCTTTCTTTTAATCTCCACCCCCACGCTACGCTGGTTGATTTCCTTTTTTTTTTTAAAAAAAAGAAAGAAACTGTTCTTCCTCTATCCAGAAGATGGTGCTAGTCCCTAGTGAGCTGAACTAGAGCAGCTGAAAAAAAAAAAACCCAGGGATTCAGGGAGCAAAGGGAATTTGGGAGCTATGACAGAAGGGAAAGCGGAGTTGCCATCTGCGACAGCTTCCTTGCTCCAGGCAGAGTCCAGGGTAGAATTTTAAATGTGCTTCAAAACAATAGCTAGGATAACTAGCAGCGTGAGGCTTGCAGGGCTGGTTTGCTTTGTGGCGGTTTCCAGAACCTGCTTCTCTCTGTGCCTTGGGGCATAGCGGTGGGTTGGCTGACGATTGTGAATTCCCCTTGTGTTGGCAGAGAGGAAGGGGAGGGGGCCAGCCTGAATGGGGAAGGGTGCTTAACCTAAGGGGTGGGAGAGGGGGAGGAAAGCCTGCCTCGACTTGAATGTTGGAAGGCAAAGTTAAAAACATAATCTTGGTTTTTAGCTTTTCTATCAGGGTGGCTAAAAATCGATTTTATATATATAAATATATATGTATGTATGTATATGTATATGTGTACATATATATATGTGTGTATATATATATGTGTGTGTGTATGTATATATATATATGTGTGTGTATGTGTGTGTGTATATATATACATATGTATATATTTGTTTTCTGAGGTTACATCTACATATACACATACATACATAATAAACTGGGTGTTTTTTTTTAATTTAAATCGGATTTTTTTTTTTACTTTTATCCAATTTATTTTAATAAATTGCTTTTGGAATAAAGAAAACCTATCTATAGAATAGAATAGAATAGAATTCTTTATTGGCCTGCAACCATTCATCGTCTGTTTTAGCTACCAGTCCCTTAATCATCTTGGTTGCTCTTCTTTGCACTTTTTCTAGAGTCTCAACCTCTTTTTTATAGTGTGGTGACCAAAACTGGATGCAGGACTCTTCGTGTGGTCTTACTAAGGCTTTACAGAGTGGTATTAGTACCTCCCTTGATCTCGATTGTATCCGTCTGTTAATGCAACTTGGGATTGCATTGGCTTTTTTTGGCTGCTGCTACACACTGCTGGCTCCTATTTAGTTGGTTATCCACTAAGACTCCAAGATCCCTCTCACAGTGGCTGCTATTAAGCCAGGTGTCAGCCAGTCTATATGTGTACTTTTGGGTTTTTTCTTGCCTGAGTGTGAGACTTTACTTTTCTCTACACTGAATTTTATTTTGTTACATAGGGCCAATTCTGGGCTCCATCACAGCCATAAATTGAGGACTACCTGAGTACAAACTTGTCATCACTCCCCCCCGCCCCCCTTAAAATGGCATACTAAGTCCTCTGTTTGGACTGCCCATGGTTTTCAACCCTCTTGTTTTTTTACCCCTTTCCTTTGCCAGGCTGGTACCAACAGCTCGTTTCTACCCTCTGCGTATGCACTGCGTCCGGGCGCTGACGCTGCTGTCGGAAAGCACACAGACCTTCATCCCTGTCCTGCCCTTCATTCTGGAGGTGAGTGTCAGTCAGAATAGAATAGAAATAGAAATGAATAGAATAGAATAGAATAGAATAGAATAGAATAGAATAGAATAGAATAGAATAGAATAGAATAGAATAGAATCCTTTATTGGCCAAGTGCGATTGGATACACAAGGAATTTGTCTTGGTGCAAATGCTCTCAGTGTACATAAAAGAAAAGATACATTCGTCAAGAGTCAAGAATCATCAGGTACAACACTTAATATCACAAGTGTCTTCACAAGTGGGTGGCAGATGGTGCAGTCGGTGGGAGTGGGTGTGTGTTGGTGTTTGGGGGGACTTAACCAAGCCGCCTCGGTTCGTTGCTAATTGCCAGGAAGCGAAAAAAATAAGACCGTTGTGGGTTTCCCGCCGCCAACGTTGCTGCAGATGTCTGTTCGTTCACCACATCCTTTCCGCTTCCTGCGTCCCCAGGACCGCTTGTGGCTTCTGCACGCCGGCCTCTCCCCTCTTTCGTCCACCTCCTTCCTCTCTGCTGAGGTTCTGCCAAAAAAGGCCTCTTAACACACCACCCCTGCTTTCCTCTCTGTGTGTGTCTTTGTGTGTAGAAAGCAGCAGCCTTCTCTCCAGGCGAGCCAAAGAGACCAAAGCCCAGACGTTTGGCAGTTTGCGCTGGTTTGGCCTCTCTGCCCTCCGTCACATTTCTCTTTTGCAGCGTCTCTTGGGTGGGAGCGGGAAGGAAACGTGGCCGTTGAAGCTGGCAAGCCTTTGGAGAAACACCGAGGGTGTGTGCACACACCCCCTCCCCAACACAACCTGAGATGCTGCAATAGAGGAATTAGGAGTGCAGAAAATAGCAATTGCTACCAACTTGCCTCCCATGGAGGTCCTGTATCCTGCACAAGTCAAAAAGAGGGCTGGGAAAATATCTACAGACCCCTCACATCCCAGACATAAACTATTTCAACTCCTACCTTCAAAATGACGCTATAAAGCCCTGCACACCAGAACAACTAGACACAAGGGGAGTTTTTTTCCTCCATGCCATCACTCTGCTAAACAAATAATTCCCTCAACACTGTCCAACTATTTACAAAGTCTGCACTACTATTACTATTAACCTTCTCATCACTCCTTATCACCCATCCCCTCCCACTTGTGACTGTGTGACTTTGTTGCTTGTATCTTTACGATTTATATTGACTGTTTCCTAGAATAATTTGATTGCTTATTGTACCCTATGACTATTATTAAGTGTTGGACCTGATGATTCTTGACTCCTGATGAATGTCTCTTTTCTCTTATGGTCACTGAGAGCATTTGCACCTTGTGTGTCCAACACACTTGGCCAATAAAGAACTTTCCTTTCCTTTCCTTTCCTTTCCTTTCCTTTCCTTTCCTT